TAGTACCAAGACTAGTCTCCAAGCAGACATCTCCAATGCCAACGACTTGAGCCGACCCATCATTACCCATCTTGACGGAACCAAAGTCACCCGAAGTGTATGTGGCAAAGAATTCACGTCGTGATGTGGCATGAATAGAAGCTCCACTGTCAATCACCCAACTGGTCTCATGGCATGCGAGGTTGATTATTTCACCATCGATCATGATCAGAAACTCATGTCTTGCAACTGCAACCCGTTCCTCGCCGTCTTGTTGCTTATTTCCTTTCTTGTTGTCCTTCTTCAATTTCCAGCAATCCTTCTTGATATGTCCCTTCTTATGGCAATAGTGACACTCCACATTTGCAAATTTGTTAGATTTGCTCCTGCTCCGATTCTTCTCCTTCGGATTCCGATTCTGGCTCCTCCCCCTCGATTCAGATACCAGAATATCAGAACTCGAGGAAGCTCCTTGAGATTGTCTCCGCGTCTCCTCATTTAGAATATTGTTCTTCGCATATTCCATCGAGATGACACCGTCTGGAGCTGAATTCGACAACGACATCCTGAATGTCTCCCATGAATCCGGAAGTGTACTGAGAAGCCATAAACTCTGAACCTCATCTTCAAAAGTGATCCCCATATCAGACAACTGGTTCAACAGACCTTGAAACACGTTCAGGTGATCTGTCACCGGACTGCCTTCGGCGTACTTTAAATCGACCAACTTCTTGATGAAGTACAGCTTGCGATTTCCAGTGTTTCGAGCGTACAACTGCTCCAGCTTACTCCACAAAGACCGAGCATTAGTTTCACCAGCCACATGATTCAGAACGTTATCATCCACCCACTGTCGTATCAAGGCACAAACTTGTCGATGTAGCAATGTCCATTGCTCATCAGTTTTGCCCTCCGGTTTTTCCTCAACGAACAACGGTAGGTGGCACTCTTTCACGTATAGCAGATCCTCCATCTTGCCTTTCCATACGTGATAATTGGTACCGTTCAAACTTACCATTCTACTAGTATTTGCCTCCATCACTCACACAAGTGCACCGCACAACCAGGGTGCTCTGATACCACTTTGTTAGGGTTTTTACCGTGAATCACAATTCGGTAAATAAGAACCCCTTACTTGTGTGAGCACGTTAGGATGACAATATCTAGTTAGAACAGAAATTTAAATGAGACAATCGTTTTAACGTGGAAAACCTCCTCGGTGTGAGGAGTAAAAACCACGGGACCGTAGTCCACCCAAAAATCCACTATAATCTCAAATTTCCGGGTTACAACGTCCACACTTCAGTCTCCAATAAACAAGAGATACACCCGAGACTTCCGAATATTAACCAATATTCAATCTCAATAAACCCGAAAGAACCAGCTGTAACTTAAGCAGCAAGCTAACCCCGTAACTTCTGATTCCGGCAACCAAATACCAACTTCTCCGTAGAAATCAAAAGCTCAGAGGGTGTAGAATAAACATACCAAATTTCAGCTCAAACGGAGAAGAGATGAGCATCCGAATCTTCAACTTACTCGGACATGTGCTGCTGAAGCTCCAATGACGAACAGCTTCGGTAGAAACTCCGTTTCTCCAATTCTGACCGTTGGAATCAAAATTCCACCGGACAAAACCTAGAACAATGAGTGTAGAAGCTCTCCTCCAAATTCCAGATCGATCGGACAAGGAATGACCATCCGATCGAAGCTTTGATCACAGCTGCACCAAACTGTTTTCTCTCCCTCTTTTCTCCCACTCTCTCTTTTCTTCTTTCTGCTATTTTCTCTTGCTTGGATTATGAAACCACGACCAAAGCTTCTGCATTTGTAGCCTTTGATCACATCAACTTTAGACAAAAGTTTGTCTAATGATTTGTCATCACAATAATGGTGTTTCCCACCATTTACTTTTCCACCTAATGCATGATTGATTTTTAATCAATACACTTAGGAGGAAACCCCACACTGAAAGCCTTTGGACAGAGAGATAGAGAGAGTACATTCTGAGAGCTTTGCTGGTGTCGGGGCTATCGCCGAGCACATGGCGGATGGTAACTTCAGAAGAACAGCCAGCAGAAAGAAACTCTAAGATGGCATCTGCTCTACGGCGTATGGAGCTCGACCTGCAAATCTCTTTATTCTTTGGCTCTTCATTCGCCTTCTCATTCGTTGGCAAATCTCTGATTTTGAGTCTGCTTTCTACACTTGAAACCTCGCTCGAACCACTTGACAAGCATGATTCCTCTTTGGAATCATCATCGGATTGCTTGCAGAGGCCTAACACCGGATTCTTCAGATTGATGGCGGTCCAAATGACAGTTGAGCGGCGTTTCTTCACAGGCTGCAAAAGACGCAGTCATGGAAATGTGAGCTTCCAAGTTCTGACATCCAATCAAGAAAATTATACAGATCGAGAGTGGCTTTGTTTCCGTGGAAAGAAATTTTCAACCAAAAATCAGTGTATCAGAATTCAAACAAACAAGTCTGGTTGAAATTCAGAAATTCAAAAAGCGAGAGAGATGGATTCAAGAAATAACCCATCTACGGAACAGAACAAGATTAAATATGATCAATTATCATCACTAATTCAGAATAGTTTACAGAAAATTGAAGCTGCTAAGAACTAAAGAACCACGGAGATTCAATCACCAAGTAAAAAACAAACATCCAAACAAGCAGAAACTCAGATCAAAATTAGATCAATCACATCAAACTAACAGATGAACCACCAAAAACGGGAGAGTGAATAAAAATCCTTAGAGGTTCCGTATTCTGCAGAACAAGCGCAGGTGATTTTAAACGACTTCTTCGAAATAGAGAGGACGCAGTGAGATCGCACCTTAATCACCAATATGGAGTTTATTTCGAAATCGCGATCACTGCTCTTCTGAGACGAACCATCGCTGGACAGGGACGATCCACACGATCTCGATCCAATAGACGCACAGCTCAAGCTCAAGCTGTCGAGGCCATGACTCTTGCCCTCCACGACCATGTTTTTCTCATGTCCCAATCTATGACTCGTCAGAACGATGATCATTAACGACAAATTCAGAAACGAAGAAGACAACAGAGATCTCGACTCCGAACTTCGAAATTTTCGACGGAAACCGAATCTGAACGGATCGTTGTTACCTCGAAGGCGAAGAGAACACTGGCTCGGTGGAGAGAAGGAGTAGAGACGAAGCAACTTTTCCCTCCAGATCAGAAGGAAACTCGGACATCTTCAAACGTTACTTCTGAAGCAAGATTTCTCTGCGCTTCTTCGAATGGTGGCGCGGTTGATCCCCCAAGATTTTTGAATTCTCTCTCCTCCGCAACGACCTTTTTGGGCCTTAAACACAAAAATAACAGGCCGATATAACAAAGTCTAATATGGGCCTTATGGTGGGCCCATTTTCAATGTGATAGATCCATTAGGCACACTTACTGAAGCTTAAAACAAAATTGCCAGCTGTTGATTTTATTTATTTTTTTAATTGTATATAACAAAAATGATTAGGATGCACTGCATAAATATAATGCATTTCGATTAATTTAATTTATAGATGCGGTTGCAATTTCATCTCGGAGATTCTATAAATTATTACAAGCTAAGTATTATTACGAAGATAAAAAAAAAATTAAGAAATTCAGAAAGAAGACATGATTGAGGACATTGACCTCACACTCACCGGAGGACTTAGTTAACAGCTTGCATTGCATTGAAGCTTAAGCAACGTCTCAATCCGACGACAACCACTTTACGATTGCAGTCTCTCAGAAAATCAATCTCTGGTGGAAAAGGAGAAAACCCAAGTTCTGGGAAATCAAAATCGAGATCGAAATCTTGTCAAAAAAATTTTCAATTTGGGTGTAATTTCTGATTCGAATTTGTTTCCGGATTTCGGGTTTACGGCTTACTCCGATGTTGGTTCAGGATCGTGCGGCACCCAAGTTGCCGAAACCCCAGATCAGAGCATTGCCTACTCACCAGCAGAGCCACAGATTCGCAGATGTGAAAAACCTAGATTTCTCGACATGGGTTTCCGACAATGTCTACAGAATCGGCGTCTTCTTCCTCCTCATCGTGACCGTCGCGGCTCTCTTCTTCCTTTATAACACCACCGACACTGCCTCCCTCCTCTGTCTCCAGTCCCAGTCAACTCAGTCGCTTCAATCTCTTACCCGCCCGCAAATCAACTGGAATTCGATCCAAACCATTGCCGACAAGACCTCCCCGTACGCCAGCTTCCGGTCGGAGAAGTGGATCGTTGTATCGGTGACGAAGTACCCAACGGAGGAGCTCAAGAGCTTGGTGAAGATCCGGGGATGGCAGGTTCTGGCGATCGGAAACTCCATGACACCGAAAGATTGGAGCCTGAAAGGTGCGATCTTTCTGTCTCTCGATGCGCAAGCTGAATTGGGTTTTCGAATTTTGGATCACTTGCCTTACGATTCATTCGTACGGAAGAGTGTCGGCTACTTGTTTGCCATCCAACACGGTGCCAAGAAGATCTTCGACGCAGATGACCGTGGTGAAGTGATCGATGGAGATCTAGGGAAGCATTTCGATGTAGAGTTAGTAGGTGAAGATGCTAGGCAAGAGCCGATTTTGCAGTACACCCACGAGAACCCCAATAGAACTGTGGCCAATCCATATATCCATTTCGGGCAACGCACGGTTTGGCCTAGAGGTTTGCCACTGGAGAATGTAGGCGAGATCAATCATGAGGAGTATTACACTGAGGTTTTTGGTGGTAAGCAGTTCATACAGCAAGGGATATCGAACGGGTTACCAGATGTTGATTCGGTGTTCTATTTTACCAGGAAGACGAGTTTAGAACCGTTCGATATTAGATTCGACGAGCATTCTCCCAAAGTGGCTTTCCCACAAGGTATAATGGTTCCGGTGAATTCATTCAATACCCTTTACCATTCGTCAGCTTTCTGGGCGTTGATGCTTCCGGTTTCGGTTAGTTCCATGGCGTCAGATGTGTTGAGAGGTTACTGGGGACAACGGCTTTTGTGGGAGATCGGTGGATATGTTGCTGTTTATCCACCTACTGTCCATCGGTACGATAGGGTTGAGGCCTACCCTTTCTCAGAGGAGAAAGATCTTCATGTCAATGTCGGTCGTTTGATCAAGTTCTTGATTGCTTGGAGATCAGGCACCCATAGATTGTTTGAGAAGGTTTTGGATTTGAGTTTTGCAATGGCCGAAGAAGGGTTTTGGACAGAACAGGACGTGAAATTCACAGCTGCCTGGCTCCAAGACTTGCTTGCTGTCGGGTACCAACAGCCGAGGTTGATGTCACTCGAATTGGATCGCCCACGGGCAAGCATTGGTCACGGGGACAGGAAAGAGTTTGTCCCGAGGAAGTTGCCTTCGGTTCATCTCGGGGTTGAGGAGATAGGTACAGTGAGCACTGAAATAGGGAACTTGATCAGATGGAGGAAGAATTTCGGGAATGTAGTGCTTATTATGTTCTGCAATGGACCCGTCGAGCGGACCGCTCTGGAATGGAGATTGCTTTACGGGCGCATATTCAAAACCGTGGTCATTTTGTCATCTCGGAAGAACTCAGATCTTTACGTCGAAGAAGCCAGTCTCGATCAAATTTACAAGTAAGCGTTTCTTTCAGAGACCCATTTTGTAGAAATTGCATCTACTGCAAGTAGAATCTGAAAACAGTTCGTGTCTCATGTTTATGTTTACAATCTGTTTCTGGGAAATGGCCTGAAGAGATTATGTCGATGCCTAAACTTATCAAACATGGCATATGTTGCTTTGCTTTTGGTCGCAGAGCCAGTTTGGTTAGTTATCTTGTCAATGTCCTTTATGCATAATGGTTGTCCCTTTCTTTAGTTATAGGCATTGGCAAAAAGGGTTTAGGTGTTTGAATGCGACTTTCTAACTGTTTCGATGTAATCTCAGGCATATGCCGAAGATATTTGATCGGTATAGCAGCGCGGACGGGTTTTTGTTTCTTGAAGACGATACAGTTCTCAATTACTGGATCTTACTTCAAGCCGATAAGACGAAACTGTGGATCACCGACAAGGTGCTCTTTGCTTTCTTTTTCCAGTTTCTTATGTTATTAGGGGTGGATGGAGGCGGGTTGGGGTACCCGGCCTTTGGTCTTGCCCCCACGAGTTTCATGGCCTAAGTATCTCGACCTCGGCTTCTCGAGATTCGGGTAGCCATGGCTGATGAGGTACCCGATCTTGTGAAAATCTGCGAATTTTTGTTGGTCCGAGATGACTATGAGGGTTATAACCGTAGTTTTGCACGGAAATAGACTAAATGTTATTGTAGTTAGTAATTACATTTTGCACATCCCGTGAGTAAGCGAGTACCCATCACATGACGGGAAAAACCCAAGCCGAACCCGTGATCCGGGTTCCTCGTCTTGTCCCGCGATGTGGGTATTGAGGTTTAACGTCCATTTCTAGTTATACCGTACAAGGAGCTTCTTCTTTACATCTTGTTAATGGTGATTTTAGGTATCAAAGTCTTGGACAACGGTAAAACCGGCCGGGAACTCAGACTGGTATTCCGTTCAGACAGACTTGGTGAAGAAAATCGTCGGCACCATGCCTGTCCATTTCCAAGTCAATTACAAGGAAGCAGCCGCCACCAAGAACAGCCAGGAAATCCTAACGGTATGCAGCTCGGAGATATTCTACGTGCCGAAACGCTTTGTATCGGATTTCGTCGATCTTGTCAATCTCGTGGGAGATCTGGATCTGCATTACAAAGTAGCCGTGCCCATGTTCTTCATGTCGATGGATTCGCCTCGGAACTTCGACCCGGTACTTAGTTCGATGGTTTACAAGCGGAAGCCGCCTTCCTCGAACTCTTCTTCGTCGCTCTATTCCGCTCAAGCGGCGGCGGTTCACCCGTGGAGCGTATCCGATGAACGGGATTTCATCGGGTTGGTACGAGTGATGGCCGAGGGCGACCCGCTCCTGATGGAACTGGTATGACTCGGAAGTGGAACATGAATTTTTTTTTTTTAACGGGTTTCAGAGTAGAGTAAAACAGATTTACCACATGGGTAAAAACATTTATACAAGATCGTGTTTTGGATTGTATTCTTTTTTCTTTTTACTATTTTTTTTTTGTTGGGTGGAGGGTGTTTTGTAATTTCCATGTAATCTTACATTTTGTTATTTTTGTATAATCATCCTTGTTCAGTTTCCCATCCAATAAGAAGAAATCTACCATTAGAACCATTAGACGACTAAATAGTTAAGCACCTCGTTTGACTTTATACGACATCGTTTTATGGTAAGGAGAAACGGTGCCGTTTGACGTTATAAGAAACGGTGCCGTTTGACAGTAACCAGAACGACGCCGTTTGTGTCTCCCTTAATAATCTCTGGCTTCGCTCGCGTGACGAGAACTGCCATGGAGGACACGGACGACACAACCGCGCCGTCGTTGCGGCAATATAATCGCCGACAGATCTGCGGTGGCTGCGACCGTCCGATGCCGGTATGTCTCTGCCATGTCATCCCGGAGGATCCGATCCAGACGAGGACGAAGATCGTCATCCTCCATCACCCTCACGAGTCCAAGCACAAGCTCAACACCGTCCCTCTCCTCACCAAATCCCTCCGCCATGTCACCACAATCTCCGGGCGCCGTCTTCTCCGCCATCACATATCCGGAAACGGAGAAAACAATCCCAACTCCTCCGCCGCGATCTATCTCTTTCCGCCATCTCCGTCCTCTCCCGCCGTCACCCTCTCCGAAATCAAATCCCGCATCCTCCTGACCAATCAGACCTCTCCGGTGACGCTGATAGTGTTCGACGGGACGTGGAAGCACGCGAAGGAGATGGTGAAGGCGAGCGCGGAAGTCCTGAGAGAAGCTGGAGCGGTGAGGGTGTGTTTGGACGCAGGGTTTGACGAATCCGTGAGCGGGGGAAGCATCTACGACTCGGAGCTTCTGCCGAGGAAGGAGCCGTTCGGCGGCGGCGTGAGCACGGCGGAGGCGGTGGCGCGGTGGTTGGGCACGGTGGAACCCGAAGGCGAGGAGATAGAGAGGAAGGTAATTAGGGTTCTAAGAGAGATGGTGAGGCTTCAATCTGGGTTCTTGAAGCCCATGAAACCCAGGCCTAAGCTAATGAAGAAGAACAAACAGATGAATGAAGAAGAAGAAGAAGAAGAAGAAGAATGAGATTTGTGGTCGGTCGTCGTCTTCGAATTCTGTAGGTGTTGTCTTCTATTTCTCGGATTCAGTGGGAGATTTCAGTTTTGTGGTTTGCATTTGGGTTCCTGTACATTTGCCCAGGATTTTGAGTTAATTCTTTGACAAAAACTATGACGTGCTTTATGTAATCCCCCCGGTTCCAAATTTCGACAACGTACGGAATCCGCTGTACCACGTTATCTAAAGTTTTTACACCGTTAGTTGCACATTCAAAACGTTTAAAGATTATCATCTTATAACTCAATCTAAATAACGATCAAGGTATAAAAATTCCATTGTTTATAGTATTTAAAAAACTAAATTAAATTAAGTGAACTAAAATTAAACATCCACAAGCGCATCCCTCTGCGGTTTGCGCGGTTCTCTTTGGCTTGTTTAGAATGGTGGTGAAGATTTCGGTATTCGGTTTGATTTTAATATAATATTTGTCGGGTTTGAATTATTCGGTTATAGAAAATGTATATATCATCGGTTATTATATTATATTTAATTCTGTTTATATTAAAAAATTATTTTTTTAATAATTTTTTGATTTTTTCAGATTTTTTAATATTTAATTCGGTTTTGAGATATTTAGTTTTCTAAAAGCATTATCGTTTCGAATTTTTGAAAATGAAAATGATAACGAAATTTTCGATTTGTTTTTGTTTGGTGATGAGAAACCGAACGAAATATATGATTTGTATATGTTCTTATGTAATTTTATCGGAAATTGATGCATTTTGGAATCTTTTTTCATGGTTTTTTGCTGCAAGCAGATGCCGAGACATACAGTGCTCTTATAAAACGCATATGATTTTATTTTCCCTTTTTTTATATATTTTTTGCTCCTTTTTCTTTGTTTTTTTAATAAAAAAAAATCCCTTATGGGTGGGTCTGAATTTGATTTTGTTTTCATATTCTTACATGGTGATGATGTCCGTTTTTGTAGTTTAATGATCAGAGACGCGAACTGTAGCGTGTTTCCGAGACAGCTGTGCGGTAAAAAAGGAAAACATCCGTTCATCTGGTCTCAACAGTGCCTTGTAATCATATGAGAATGCGTATAATTTGCTTACATGAGTTAAGAGAATCTCATTTTTGTTTTTGTTTTATACATCTATAGATTTTAATTTTAAGCATGTGTTTAATGTTAATTATGACTTATATCCCCACTAGGAGTCAATTTTGATCCGGACGAAAAATATAAGATTTCGGGCCTAAATTTATATACACAAAAAAATTCAAACTTTTCGGATTCAAAATCGGAGTTCGAATCGACCTGAAAAATTAATTTAATTTTTTTAAAATTAAATTAAAAAATATTTATCATTATAAGGAAAGGCATTAATTGGATTGATTCGATCCAACCAAAATTCGAATCCGAGTTTTATAGGACTAGATTTTAGTTTTATAAGTTCGAAAAATTCGAGTCAATTCAAACCCGATTCCAAAATCTTCAGACCAAATGTAGGTTCAAGTCGGACGGACCGTTTGACACCTCTAATCTCCACTTGTTTGAAATGCAATCCCGCTGGTTTTTTTATGGTTCATTTCGGATCAAACATTTTTTTTTGTGAAGACGATTTTGAACCTCTACAAACGAGCCAAACGTTTCAATATCCCCTTCATTATCAATAATACAAGTATACACTGCGTGCCGTTTACGGCCACACAGAACGGCAGAGCCAATGAGTCGTTCTCAGACCCTCTTTTTCACTTAGAGGGCCCGCTCTACTGTACCAAAAAAGGGGGTTTATTCATGGAGTGTAACAGACGAATCGTACGGCGACACGTGTTTTATCAAAGAGTGTCGGTGCCTTGTATTTTGGCTTATGCTGTTGTATATGCCTTGTTTTAACTTATCACTTGCGTCCGCGGTAGTAAGTGGTCCATTTATTTCTTCTCTATATGTGTCTTTTTATTTCACTGTTTTTTGGGATAAACGATTATTTACATAATCTATATAATTAATTATATGTGATATATATATATATATATATATATATATATGTGTGTGTATATATATTCTGTTGGCATGTGTTTTGTACTCTTACATGCCTAAAATGATAATAGAATAGTACTCTATTATCTTTTTTTTTAGGGGAAAATATAGATTCTACGATTTAATACATTTTTCATCCGCATCGAAGAAAACAGAAATTTTAATTTTTTTTATGTGGATTCTACCGAAAAATATATAGACTATACGGCAATAAAGCCAACCTCCGAATTGATTTCTTTTGTTTTTTTTTTAATATATAATCTATAATATCGATCTTAAAAAATTGGCGTTGGTAAGAGGTTTTTTGTTTTTTAACTAAGTGAGCAGCAGCCAAAAGTGGGGATTAGGCGTGCTTAAAGTTTTTTAAATTAGATAAAGTTTGTTCCTTTAATAAATTGAAAAGATGGCTCTTTTACTCAAACAACTATACATACATACATACATATATATATATATACATAGAGAGAGAGAGAGAGGAGTGAAAAGGCACGGATCATGGTTGGCTTTCTTATTGATGAGGTTCATGGTGTGCCTCGAGAAAGATCACACCTTTACCTCATGTGGCATAATAACAATAAAAAACAAACCCAACAAATCGTGAGCGAATGGTCAAATTTAGGGTAGGAGGTAATTCACTTTGAGGTTGAGTGTTCGATTCTTACCTGGTGGGGAGGGAGTTAATTTTTGGGTTTATATGATCCATATACAAAGGCTGTTCCCGGGCCGGAGGTTTAACTAGTTAGCGCGTCCGAATGGTAGCAGTTAGGGGTCCTCCGTTATAAAAAAAAATAATAAAAAACAATCCAATGAATTTTTTTTATAAATAGAGTGGAATTTAATGAAAATGTTCATAATGCTAACTTTTTTTAATGGAAAACCTCTAACTGCTATTTTCAGAACGTCTTGTCTATGTAAAATTTCTATCCAGAACCCATCTTTGTATATGGATCTTATTGGTCCAAAAATTATGTATCTCTGCGTCAAGTGGAGTCGAACATCTAGCTACTGTATAATGCTAACTTTGTGTGGTGGTGAATATTTTTTATTTGTTTCCGTATTTGGAACAAAAATAACAAATTTATAACGTGTTTCATCGGTTTGATAAGTTTATCTCTCTAATTTTGAAACCAAATTTTACAGTTACGTTATTTATCAACTAAAATAATAATATTAGGTATAATCAAATTAAATTCATATGAGAAAAATTAATGTATTGTATAAGAATTTTTTTTTAACACCACATCCTTTGTGTGGATAAACATAGTATATAATGAAAAATTAAGACCTTGTTTATTAGTATCTGCATCATCACGTAAAAACTTGATATTAAAAAGTTTACAAGTATTTATTAATAACTAGAAAATTTAATATTTAAATTTGAACTTAACGGTAAAAAATAAATAATTATAAAATATATTTTGTAGTAAATTTCGATAATTACAGATATCTAGATATTAGAAAAATATTATACAAAATCAACTCCCAACTAGTTGGAATAATCAGTTTTTATAACATATTTAAAAAATCCATATCACATTCGGATTTTTAAATAATTTTGTCCCTCAGCTGCTACTATTATATCTAGGATATTTCATTTCAATTAGATGTAATGTAACAAATAATAAATAAAAAAAATCGCATATAAATATCTAATTTTTTTTGAAAATTTTAGATAAATATTTAGACTTTAAATTTTTTATATATTATATTTGGACTTTTTAAAAATTCTATAAAAATATTTAGACTTTTCAAAATATTTTAAATAAATTCAAAATTCATATATTTTATAAATAAAAAAGTCAATATGGTTAATAGACTTTGAATTTATTTAGAATTTTTTTTAAAATATTAGATATTTTTATATTTTTTAAATCATATATTTATATAAATATTTTCTATTATAGATATTTATTTATAATTTCTATAAAAAAAATAAATATTTATATGTTATTTTCCTAACAAATACTAATTTTACGGTATCATAAAATGTACTCCTTCCGTTTCAAATTAATTGTAGTTTTAGGTTTTTTCACATTTTTTAAGAAAAAAATAAAAAGTCATATTTGCCCTTATTTAATATTTTTATTAATATTTTTTTTATGATTTTAATTAATGAAAATCTCAATTCTCTTAAATATTCAGTCTTTGATATTAATGTTTACGAGAAAATTTTAGTTTGGAGGGAAATTTTAATTTGGTAAAAAAATAATTTGGAGCCAAAACCAAAATATTCATAAATTTGAATTTATGAAAAAATAGAGATAAGAAAATCTATGAAAAAATGCGGATCTGAAATAAGGAAAAAATGACGAGAAGATGAAAACGATGAAAACAAATGAAAAACAAACATTAATAATGATCAAAATATAATTAATATTCATTAAATTTTGATGATAAAAACAATGGTGTGATTAATCATTTATTGGAATGTGTTAGGGATAAAATTGGAAAATAATATAAAAAAATGTATTGAAAATGTAGAATAACAAATATTTTGAAACATAGAAAACAACTTAAAACTATAATTATTTTGAAATGGAGGGAGTACGAAACAAGTTAAAATGAAGTTGAATGGTAATGGTTGGTCAAAGGGGGGGAAGAGAGAGCACATTGGGAGGGGTGATGGAAAATTCCGCCTTGTAAATGAAGTCACTGTTGTCACACAGTATGCCTTTGTTGCTTTCCTTCTTGAAGGAAGCATTCACCAACTCACTCCCTGTCTTTATTGTTGTGTGTGTGGGCATACAAAGATTCCTAATATTTGCTTAAAGATAATAGTTTATTACAAATAATAAAAATTACTATATATTTAGAGTCACGTTATAAATCTGGTAAAATTTAATTTAAATATATGACTTTCAACGGATTGATAAGAACCCACTATATATATATATATATGTGACATATCTCCTTATTTGTAGTGTATCCATAGGTGGCCTTATGCAAGGGTAAATCATATAATCCACTTTAGCTCCATAAAATTAGTGTTTATATATGTATATATGTATATTGTATATTATACGCATAAAAAAATTAAATTTAGTACACATGAAAAAACTATACAAACTCGAACAAACTATTGTATTCAATTATTAATTGGTCTTAAGGGTTAAATATTGTACCTTTTATATAAAGATGCATAATATAAATTAAAAGAACATTCTTGTAAAGTTTTTTTTTTTGGTAATCATTTTGAAAAATTCAATTTGATAAATATCATACCGTTCGGAAATTTTGAATGGTTCAATTCGAGAAAAATACCAAAATTTTTGGTTCGATATGATTTCTCTTGTAAAGTTATTAACTATTTTTTTTATTTTAAGAAAATGGGGGATAATTTGAGAAAGAAAGAAAAAATTAGAGTGGCGATGTTGACTTTGAACATGTGAGTGAATTATAGTGGAGAGAGCGAACCCTAAAATAATGGGAATCACTCATCATTGTCATAATTTCTTTGGTTCTCTGTTAATTGCCTTTGAGTTAGGGCCTAATCACACTGTTTATTATTTGATTAGTAACTAAATACACACACATTTAAAATAGGTTGTGACAGTGATTGATTATAATTAGGCCCTGAACTGTTGCATAGTGGATTGCAGTTGTCTTAGTGTTTCATAATAAATAAACAATAAATCTATATAAAAGGGATATTTTCAACCGAAAAAAAAATACTAGCCAATTATTATTGTACATTTATTGGTTAGCTATTAAACAATTAAACATTATAATATTATTATGTGTTCAATTTTTGCATTGAAAAAACGTTAAAAAAGATAAAGTTATTTTTTACGTTAGATGGAATTTTAAACCTATACATTATAATGTTTAATTGTTTAAACCTCTACATTTTATATAAACTCTTTTTTTTTAAAAAAAAATATTGGATTATTATATTCTTTTTTTTTGTGATATATATGATTCTATATTTTGTCTTGGATTTTTTTTGTTGTTGTGAAAGCTATGCAGTTGTCTAGATTGTTCCAATGCAAATAATGTTTTTATGGGTTAGCTAATTGGCTTTCTAATGTCTCGACTAAATGGATTTGATTGTATAATATATTTATTTGGAATCAAATAAAAAATTCATATATTTATACAAACTAAAAGACGAAATCCAAATGATTATGGGCTCTAAACAACTTCTTTCACATTAAAAAAAATATAGAAAAAATTCTCAAAAATTTCTACACAAAATAAATTCCTATAACATTTTTGTTTGTAACATGGTGCGGTTCTTCTAACAGTACATATAAACAGAGGAATCTAATTCACATGAACAAATATGTTTCATAATTACCGCATTGACATCAGCATGATTGCCATTACCTCGTTGGATTACGTCATGACGCTTCACCGGTGGTGCCGCCGAGCTTCTCCTCCTCAACTCGGCGACTGAACTCGCTTCCGGCACCGACTCGTTCGACGTGACCACTTGAAAATTCTTCGCTATGTGCACGTTCCCGACGAGTTGACTCAGCACAGCCGTCTCGGAGACTGAGTTCTTCTTCTTGTGCTGCAGCGTCGTCCTCACGATTTCCGTCAGCATCGCGCTCGACAGCCTCCTGATTCCTCTTGCTCCACCCATCAGAATCGCTGGGTTAACGACCGAGTTTGGCTGAGTTCTGTCCGTGTTTTTCTTGCTCTGCTTGGCAAAGATGAAGACCGATTCGGGGCTCCGGTTTCTGACCCGGGTTAACGGGTCACCGAGAAACAAGGAGCTCTTCGCGTCGACAAGCATCACGTGCTTGAAATTGTGCCTGATACGACCGAGAAGCATCGGATAACAAGCCCACCTCCTCAAGCTCATCGGCACGCGATCCACAAACCCGGATAGCGAGTTTTCCGGGTCCAACTCACCCACATCGAAACCCACGACCGAGCCGTGACTCAGCACGCGAGTGTCGGTCTCGTTCAAAGACGACTCGTTTCCAATTCGGTGACCGGCACCTTTCTTTCCCCATATGGGCTCCGATGTCTCCTTCTTCCCATGGTTCTTCACGAACCGAGTGACATCGAATCCCCATGCCCAGTCAACCCGATTCGTCGAATTCGTGTTTCGATGAACATCCACAAGCCTTAAGAACGAGTCATTCTCTTCCTGGATCACACGACCGAAACTCGAAGCCGACGGAGCAGAGCTGAAGACGAACACGACGTCGCATCGCGAAGTGACTCCAGACCGATGCAATAGCCGCAAAAACAACCGGACATCGTCCTCCGTTGATTCGGAACCGACATGGGCAACAACCAAATCACGCATGGCCTTGGTTCCTCTCAAATACAGAGCACCCATTCCCTGGAGAGCGAATCGGGGCACATGGGCATCTCTAATTTCGTCACCGACATCGCGTTTCAGAAGAAACCGGCGATGGGTCCGGGAAGTGATGGCGGGATAAGAAGCGGAGGGCTCGAAAGTTGAGAGAGTGAAGAGGAAGAGAGTGAGGAAGAGGAGGAGGGCGCAGATGGAGATGGTGGATTGGGCTTTGGACATAAGAAGACCGGAAGATCGGGACCGCTGGATCACGGCCGGCGAAGAAGAGGAAGGAAGGAGAGAAGGGTTATCGACGGCAATGGAGGCGTTTCTGGAGGCGTGGTCGGGGAAGAAAACCAGAAGCAAACCCATTCCTCTGCCGCTTCCGCTGCTTGAGGTCTTCATCTCTCTCTCTCTCTCTCTGTGTGAAAATGGATGGGGTTGATGAGAGAAGCGCGGGGAAGGGGTCGACGACTAGTGAGTGAGTGGTGATCGTGTTGCTTTTTTGGCTTTGCTCTGGAATTCACCTTTTTGGCATCCCATCATATATATACATATATATTCTTATTCTTTCTTTTATTAAAATATACATTTTTTTGGTTTAAATATTAAAATATACATATATAAATATATGTATTATTGTTGTATTATTTCCTGTTTGGCATATCTATACATCTAATCAAATGATCGACCAAAGGCCCAAAGGGGTAATTAATAACTTAAATAATTAAGTTAATTTGTGTATTTTGTGGGGATTAGAGTTTGAGCGACATCACATATGTTATTGTTCTCGTTTTCACGCGTAAATTCACCTTTCCTTTTCAACGCAATTAAATGCGTTTAAATGGCAGTTTCGGGTTTTTTCCCCCTTTGGATTTAGACAAATGCACGCGTTTCTTTAACTCATATTTAGATAACACAATTAATAGGTTTGAAATATCAATATTATTTTGTTACTAAAAACGCTCAATTTTAGAATATCTCCGAATATACGCACACATGTTATGTATATGTATATGTATATGTATATGTATATGAACTGTTTAACAATAACAATATGAGTGGTTCTCAAGTAATATTTACCATTAACGATTGGTGCAACACCCATAACCTTTCAAACAATATAAATATCTATTATTATTATTATTATTATTATTATTATAGTAAGATCCGTATTAAATGGGAAATACAGGAAAATGCCAGACATGTATGCTATACTGTATCAGTATGGATAGTGATACTCTCCCCTACGGACCGCAGTTACTACCACTCATTAAATATGTCCCCTCGCCCCCGTGATCTGACGGCTGAGATCGCGTGATGCTTGGGCGTTTTAATTAGTGGGCCCACTATGCTTGATTTTTGACGGTGGATCTCGTTTCTGATTTCTCATTGGAAGCTTCCGTGCACACGTGGCTTCTATTTCCTTTGGGAAGTGGGAACCGTGTGCTTCTCCTTCGATTTTGTTAATCATTTAATTTCTTGTATCCCCACAAATAAAATAATAATTTGCAAATTATTGTTCTAATAAATCTTTGACCGGTTTGACCACAATTTCAAACGATCGGAAATCTCTCGTTTCTGATTTCTCATTGGAAGCTTCCGTGCACACGTGGCTTCTATTTCCTTTGGGAAGTGGGAACCGTGTGCTTCTCCTTCGATTTTGTTAATCATTTAATTTCTTGTATCCCCACAAATAAAATAATAATTTGCAAATTATTGTTCTAATAAATCTTTGACCGGTTTGACCACAATTTCAAACGATCGGAAATCTACATATTAACGGATTGCTGATGTCACCTTATACACGTTATCAATTTTAATTTAAAAAATGACATCAACAATCCGTCAATACGTATGTCATTTTTTAAATTAAAATTGATAACGTGTATAAGGTGACATCAGCAATCCGTTAATATGTAGATTTCTGATCGCCTGAAATTGTGGTCAAACCGGTCAAAGGTTTATTAGAACAATAATTTTCAAATTCGAGATTTTATTCAGTGACAAGTTACAAATTCGGAGATTGAATGATAGTTTTTCAAGTTAAAGGTTTATTTGTATATATTTTTGCAAGTTGGAGGTTTTTTAGGAGTTTTATGGTATATGTCTATTTAATTTTTCTAATAAATCACTTTAGTGTAAGTACAATCTCATTAATATAAAAAACTCTTAAAAAATAGTGTAAAGGCCTCTACGTACATCCGAACACACACACACACATAGAATATATATATATACGCACCACATCAGAGTATACAAAACAATTTACAACTTGAAAGAATATATACGTACTAGGTGGAACTGTCTATATATCACTATGGTGTTCTTGGAGATAATACAAGTAAGCGAGAGACTTAGAGAGGTATTGGGATTATTTTTGGTGAAAAATATTCCAAGAAACCATTATGGGCTAAAATTTATTGGGCCTTGAATTGGGCTTTGAGAGCTCACTTACGCCCCCCCCTTTTTTTTTCTTTTTTTTTTTTAATCCATCAGCTTCGTTTTTCTTCTTCAGGCGCGTGGCGCTTCTGCGACAATGGCTACCGTTTTCAAGCTCGCCGGCGCGTGTGAGCGTACACGTGGCGACAATCCCAGAGCTTCGGTGATATGCAAGGACCGGAGAAGCTCCTCTTCCGCGTTCCAGGAGAACAAGTCTGTCTCTGTGGACTATGACCGCGGCGTCCATGAGGTCTCTGTCCAAGTGAGCGGGCTCAGGAAAACGGAAATCCCGAGACGGCACCGTTTAAGGGTGGAGAACGATCGGTTCCAGAAGGATTGGAATTTGTCGGAGGTTGTCGATCGGCTTTTGGCGCTCAATCGCTGGGACAACGTCGATGGTGTTCTCAATTCGTGGGTCGGCCGCTTTGCGAGGAGGAACTTCCCTGTTCTTATTAGTGTAAGCTACTGTTTCTTTCTTACCTTCTTGATGCATTTTTGGGGTTATTGATGTTTGATTATAGCGTTTGATTGTGCGTGGACGTGGCGTTCTGAGTAGTGGAGCTTGTTTTTTGAGCTTTGTAGGAGCTGACGAAAAGAGGGAGCATTGAACTATGCGTGAAAGTTTTCGATTGGATGAAGATTCAAAAGAATTACCGTGCAAGGAACGATATGTACAATATGATGATAAGGCTGCATGCTAGGCATAACCGGGTTGATCAAGCTCGTGGATTGTTTTTTGAGATGCAGAAATGGAGGTACTTGTTTTCTTTAGTGGTAGTGTTCTTCTCTCGTATCTGAATTGAATTGTAGCATCCAAGAAATGGGAATTTTATGCTTGCAGGGAAAACCATGATGTGATTGTGGTGGGTAAGGGTAATATCTTCATGGCTATGTAATGATATCGGTTATATGTTCTTCTGTAATTTTATCGGAAATTGATGCATTGTGGGCCATTTCTTACATGGTTTTAGCTGCAAGCCAGATGCCGAGACATACAATGCTCTAATAAATGCTCATGGACGAGCTGGTCAATGGCGTTGGGCGATGAATATCTTGGATGACATGTTGCTTGCAGCTGTGTGTAACTATGCTTTTCTCCAGTATCTGGTTTTGATTCTGTTTGGTCTGGAGTGAGGCTCCTTCCCGATAATCGGGTGGGAACCATTACCATAGGCTTTTGTAAAATCATTTCATTCAGTGCATGTCTTAACATCTCAGTTTGTGCAAGTAATACGGTAAAATAGGAATATCAATCTGCTTCAAGAGTATTACCTTTCATGGTCCCTGGAAATTTGTGATCAACAATTCTCTTTAAATCTCAATACTGTTTCTCTCCGTTTTATGCGTTGGGGCCTTTTCTCGTGTTGCTTCCGACAAATTTTCTGACATTTCTGTGGTTTTGCAGATCCCTCCAAGCCGTTCAACCTATAACAATTTGATCAACGCTTGTGGTTCTAGTGGGAATTGGAAAGAGGCTTTGGAAGTATGCAAGAAAATGACAGATAACGGAGTTGGGCCTGACTTAGTTACTCACAACATTGTGCTATCAGCATACAAGAACGGTGGTCAGTATTCAAAAGCATTATCTTATTTTGAGCTTATGAAAGGAGCCAATATTCGTCCTGATACCACCACCTTTAATATCGTTATCAATTGTCACGCTAAGCTTGGTCAAAGTAGGCAAGCCATTGAAATGTTCACTTCCATGAGGGAGTCTTTTTTTTTTTTTTTTTTTTTTTTTTTTTTTTTGAAGAAACCCCCAAAACAGAGTTAATAGTCGGGTCCAAAATACAATCTCAGAACGAATCATAATGTTCCACGTGTAAATTATAATTCTTTTAATAAACTAGAATAGAACCGTTCGAATGCCGCCCTGACATTGTAACGTTTACGAGCATCATACATGTATATTCTGTCAGGGGAGAGATAGATAATTGCAAAGCAGTGTTTGAAACAATGCTTGCAGAAGGTCTGAAACCTAACGTGGTTTCCTATAATGCTCTAATGGGTGCATATGCTGCTCATGGAATGAGTGAGAATGCACTTTTGGTATTTAGAGAAATAAAACGAAGTGCCTTGCATCCAGATGTTGTCTCTTATACATCCTTACTCAATTCTTATGGAAGATCACGACAACCCGAGAAGGCAAAAGAGGTATTCCTCATGATGAAAAAGGAAAAGCAAAAGCCGAATGTCGTTACCTATAATGCACTGCTTGATGCTTATGGATCTAATGGACTTTTAGCTGAAGCTGTCAAAATCTTCCGCCAGATGGAGCAAGATGGTGTTGAGCCTAATGTTGTTTCCATATGCACTCTTCTGGCTGCTTGCAGTCGATGTGGTCAAAAGGCAAACGTTGAAACTGTACTTTCAGCCGCACAGTCGAGAGGGATAAAGCTCAATACGGCTGCATATAATTCGGCGATTAAAAGCTATATGAATGCCACAGAATATGAGAAGGCTATTGCATTGTATGAGACCATGAGGAAAAAGAGAGTCAAATGTGATTCTATTACTTACACTAACCTGATTAGTGGTTCCTGTGGTATGTCAAAATACACTGAGGCACTTAGGTTCTTCAATGAGATGAGAGATCTTGGTATTCCTCTGACAAAGGAGGTGTACTCCTCTGTCATGTGTGCTTACAGCAAACAGGCAAGTGCTTAAGGGTCAAATGTGGAAGAAGACATACATATATTATCTATCTTTTTGAGAGAAATCTGAGTTGGGTTCCCCTGTTCTTTGTTTATGGTAAATGCCAGGGCCAAGTCACAGAAGCAGAATCCATCTTCAACCAGATGAAAATGGCTGGTTGCGAACTTGATGTAATTGCATACACTTCAATGCTACGTGTTTACAATGCTTCAGGTATCTAAACACCTCTTATATGGTTGAATTATAATGAATTAAGATCCCTGGATATGAAATCTCTCGTGGAAATGTTTTGTTTCGTCGCCAGAGAACTGGGATAAGGCTTGTGAACTCTTCCTGGAGATGGAAGCAAATGGGGTAGATCCAGATTCTATTGCATGCTCGGCTTTGATGAGAGCTTTCAATAGAGGAGGTCAGCCATCGAAGGTTTTTGTCCTGGCAGAGTATATGCAGGAGAAAGGAGTGCCCTTCAATGGTGCTGTTTTCTTTGAAATCTTATCAGCCTGCAGCACGTAAGTTTCTGTAACGTGGATCGGGAGATTACCATAAGTTTGCTTTTCTGAATGAAGAGAAATTATATTCTTCAAGTTTATTCACCTACTGATCATGGTATTGAGATGCATATTATTCATCCTTTTCTCCCCACAGAATTACTTCATGTTACCGGTGTATGCAGAAATTTCCTATTTTGTCAAAGAATTAACATGTTTACCATTGTTCTTCTCATAGAAGCTGAACATTTTTGCAAATGAACACACAGCTTGCAGGATTGGAAAAGAATAGGAGACCTTGTTGAAATGGTAGAACCTTCTCTGCCCTCGCTTTCCATTGGCTTAACGAATCAAATGTTGCATGTTCTCGGTAAAAGCGGTAAAGTTGAGGCAATGTTGAAGGTGCGTCTAGCTTTATGTTTTCCACAAAATATACTTTGTGCCTTGCTCTTCCTCTATCCATATTGCATAATAAAATTCACATCACAAGATCGTGTTTCAAATTTCCGACACGCAGCTGTTCTACAAGATGATAGCATCGGGTGTTGAAGCCAACTTCAATACTTTCTCGGTATTGTTGGAACACCTTTTAGCGGTTGGAAACTGGAGAAAATACATTGAGGTAACTTTTTTTTATACTGCCTGCCATCTTAAGATACCGAAACATTTTGCTTTCGATCACACAAAATCTTGGTTTCCACCATCTTCCTTCTCACAAAGCCACAGAACATAGAAAACAACTCTGCACGGATGGATTTGTAGGTTTTACAGTGGATGAACGATGCCGGCATTCAACCTTCAAACAAGATGTACCTCAACATTATCTCCTATGGAGAAAGAAGTGCAGGGTCTGAGTTCGGTCCTGTGATCAGAGAAAAGATCGGTAATGCATGCTTCATCAAGAAAGCATATCGACCCGTTACACGAATTTAGGCAGAGTTAAAAGCTCTCAGAGTTCATGTTGATTTCTAAAGATTCGTTCTTGGTAATGTTTCAGAATCGATGAGGAAAGAAACTTGCAGAGCAGGATCATCATCATCCACATGACAGAAATGGAGGTGAGTTGTGTTCATAACAAGCATTTGATCACCGTGAAGAACCATCCTTAAGAAACGATACTGAGAGAAGAAGGTAAATTAGATGTTTTCTCCAGCTGTACGATTTACCCCTTTGTTTATTTACTCCGTTGTAAAAATGTATTTTACTTTTTTGAGTTTTGATTTACCAAACCTTACGAGCGTAGAAGATGTTTTCCGATCAATGTATTGTTCTGTAGTTTATTTTTTTTTTTTTTTTTTTTTTTTTTTTTTTTTGAAGAAACCCCCAAAACAGAGTTAATAGTCGGGTCCAAAATACAATCTCAGAACGAATCATAATGTTCCACGTGTAAATTATAATTCTTTTAATAAACTAGAATAGAACCGTTCATCCACCAAATTTTCAGGAAAAATTTCATAAAAATATCTCTCATCCCATAAATATTTCAATTTATCAATTACCAAATAAATAAATATCACAATTTGATCAATTTATATCAAATAAACACTAATTTAGTATCTATTTGGTATGATGTCCATTTAGCGATCACGGGTCGGATACCCAATTTTTAGAAAATCCTGTCTCGTCTTTATCACCACAGATTTTACAAAAATATTATCTCAATCTTGGTTTTATAAAATCTGGGTATTTGTAATTCGGTTTTAATGAGACTTTTTATCTTCTACTCATGGTTATCCAAAATCATACAACTTATAAAATTCTGAACTATGAAATGATAGAGATAGAAAATACAAATGGGCACGATGAAGAAATATGAATGAGAGTTTGAGAGAGATGAATGGTTGACTCGACCATATAGAAAAAAATAATTAAAAAAAAAGATAGGATTTGAAATGGTGAAATTTTTAGATAAAGGGTTTAGAAGATAAAAAAAATTAAGTAAATAAAAGTATTTTAGTAAATAATAAGAATAACTTAAACAAATATTATAAATATAAAAGATATTTTAGATTTTTAACAAATATATCGGGTACCTCCGATACCTTTATAAAATAATTGAAATCTGAACTCAGATTCGGGATCGAAAACTTAGCCTCGTTAATACTCAATCTCATCATTATTAATATTCGAGTATCCTTGATTCGTGTACTTATTAAGTCGAATACCTTTAAACCTCACGTTATGGGTTAAAACGTTCATCCTACCAAATTTGACACATATTTATATGTCATATATATTTAGATAATTTTAGATATTTTTAAGGAATCTGAAACCAAAACAAGCCCAAAACATGATACCACTACTAGTCAAACCTATTTCAGGCCCAACAATAAAAGGGCAAAATCGTCAAATTCAAGTCAGAATCAAGTCTCAGCTTGTATAAAAACATCTCGACCGTCGAATTTCCATCAAGAAGCATACCCGAAGATCGAACGGTCCGTAATCATTCCCACCGTGGATATTACAGAAAGAGCGAGTTTATGTGTTGGACCATACTCGCGAGAGGCAGAGGATAATGCTGGAGCGCGTGAAACGCAATCGCGCTGCAACAGAAATCGGTTTTTAACTGCTAAGACATCATCATCGTATCGTATGGTCTGGAAAGCAGAATGGCTGCGTCTCCCAAGATAGGCATCGGAATTGGCTCCGCCATGCCCTCTCTCTCTCCTCCTCCTCCGCTCTTCTTTCTCACCACCACGCCTCGCCTACGCCGGGACGGCGTTTCTCGCTCCGCCGCTCTCCGCCTCAAAGCCTCCGCCGCCGGCGACGCTCCTTCTTCTCCAGGTAAACTCACTTGTTCTGCTCTGTCTCTGTCCGACAACTGTGGTTTTTTGCTTGTTCCTCGAAGTTCACGATGTTGCCACTTGGAAGACCCAAGTCATCGAGCTGTGTTGGTGGTCCGAATTTCAGGCGAAATTGTGGAGAATTTGGTGATTATAGGCTCCGGACCCGCTGGGTACACTGCGGCGATTTACGCGGCGCGGGCGAATTTGAAGCCGGTGGTGTTCGAGGGGTATCAAATGGGCGGTGTTCCCGGAGGGCAGTTGATGACGACCACCGAGGTCGAGAATTTTCCGGGATTTCCCGACGGGATTACCGGTCCGGATTTGATGGAGAGGTGAGAAACACAACAGAATCAAGTGAGATAGTTTTTGATTGAATTCTGTTGTGGTTAGAGATTGTACTGATTAGTTTGGTTCTAGTGAGATAGTGTCTGAAGCAAATGTGGTTGTGTTGATGGTAGGATGAGGAAGCAAGCTGAGAGGTGGGGAGCTGAGCTTTATCCAGAAGATGTCGAAGCTCTCAATGTAAAGGCAGCTCCTTTTACAGTGAAAAGCAGTGAACGTAAGGTGATTATTATCGTTCTTGGTATGTTGTCCAAAAGCCAACCCATGTAGTTTTGCATCCATCTTTAGCATTTCTTCTGCAAATCTCTGTAGATTCCTGTAAGAAAGACATTACTTGAGCAAGCCCGCAGTTGTAATTTCGTCTGCTCGTATAAACGCATCATCTCTTTCTAACTGTTATCTCTCTCATTCGGGTTGAATTTTTCAGGTTAAGTGCCACAGCATCATTTACGCGACTGGAGCTACAGCGAAAAGGCTGAGGCTACCTCGGGAAGATGAATTCTGGAGTAGGGGAATCAGTGCTTGTGCAATCTGTGATGGAGCTTCTCCTTTGTTTAAGGGGCAAGTACTTGCTGTGGTCGGAGGTGGAGACACAGCGACAGAGGAAGCTTTATACCTCACAAAATATGCCCGTCATGTTCATCTTCTTGTCCGTAGGGACCAATTGAGAGCCTCCAAGGCAATGCAAGATAGGTGAGTGTTCTTGCAGGGTTCTGTTATCAAAAAACATTGTCTATGTTACTCTTATGTTCTTCGAGTTTTGGAGCAAAATAGATCAAATTGTATTGTGTTCGTGGTGAAACCGGATGTTGGGTATGTGCATTCTCGCGTTTTACGACAGAAGAAACCGAAACTGGGAATTTGTGCTGTGTAGTTTCAAGGCTGTAAGTTGGATTTTTTCAACACCCTGAGTGTTTTTTTAACAGGTTGGTTATGGCGAATGTTTCAGAGTATTCAACAATCCAAACATCACAGTGCATTTCAACACGGAGACCGTCGATGTGGTGAGCAACACGAGGGGACAAATGTCGGGAATTTTAGTCAGAAGAGTTGATACGGGCGAGGAAACTGAGCTGGAGGCAAAAGGGTTGTTCTATGGAATTGGGCATTCACCAAACAGCCAGTTATTGAAAGGACAAGTCGAACTAGACAGCTCGGGTTATGTATTGGTCGAGGAGGGGACAGCAAAGACATCGGTTGAAGGTGTATTTGCAGCGGGAGATGTGCAGGTTAAGCTATAAAACTTTAAAGCCAACTTTGTCGGTGTTTTTATCACATTTGTCTGACAAATTTCTCCCAATTTGTCAATATAGGACCATGAATGGAGACAAGCCATAACTGCTGCTGGATCAGGATGCATAGCCGCCTTGTCAGCTGAGAGATACCTCGCAAGCAACGATCTCCTTGTCGAGTTCCACCAGGTATATGAATTTGAGGAATTTCAATGAATCCAGAATGTAAAAAAGTGCCTTATACTCATTCATTTTCATACCCTTTGTGACCGACAGCCTCATACAGAGGATGTCAAGAAAGAATTCACAGACCGAGATGTCCAAGAAGGCTTTGACATAACTCATACAAAGCATCGGGGCCAGGTGGGTTTCTCTTTCTTGCGGCTAATGTCCGAAATCCGAATCTCAATCCATTATGTCTCACCTCTTAGCTCTTTTTGTTTTCCTTCCTCATCCTTACAGTATGCTCTTAGAAAGTTATACCATGAGAGTCCAAGGCTTGTCTGTGTACTGTACACATCTCCTACATGTGGTCCCTGTCGGACCCTAAAGCCTATTCTGAACAAGGTATCAACCACCCAGTTGTCTTAAAAAGATTTTGCTCTCCAGAAATATGATTTCATCATATTTGGACAGGTTCTCTAATGATCTGTGCCTTTTTTTCTCATGTTCATAATGCATAGGTGATTGATGAATTCGATAGCCACGTCCATTTGGTTGAGATCGACATAGAGGAAGATCCAGAAATTGCCGAAGCCGCTGGAATCATGGGAACTCCTTGTGTTCAGTTCTTCAAGAACAAGGAAATGCTTAGGTCTGTACATTCATCTTATTCTTCTATTCCCTTTCCTTGAACTCTTGCAAGGATCCCTTTTGATTTATGATGAATTCTGGAACTGGTGAACTTCTTTGCTCAGGACTGTTTCTGGTGTGAAGATGAAGAAAGAGTACCGGGAGTTCATCGAGGCAAATAAATGAAGGATATCATATCATATCAAAGGAGACTTGCTTGTTCAATTTTGTTAATCCAAAATCTGCTGTTACTGGATCAACTCCATTGAATCTCAATAAAGAAAAAAGAAAATTTTCTCAGCTGTGATTCAAATCTGCTAACCCTAACCCTAGAGTCTCGGGGACATCATCTAAGATGAAGGGACCGAGCTTACCAGTCCTGAACAAAGTAAGAAACTTCTTAGAAACCATCAACCGAGCTTCAGATGCCTTGTGAGAAACCTTCAGTGCCTTTTGCAGAGCCTCAAACTGTTGCTCTATCAGACACTCCAAGTCATTCTCATCCTCTACATCACCCTCGAATTCTGAAAATGTAAGGTACAATGACCGTTTCACTTCCGAAACTATGTCCTGCACATCACAAAGAACCAACCATCTCCATACCATAGCCATTTTCATGGAAACGAACGTGTGTGAGTCTGAGAGAGAGAAGGAGGTGGGTTTTACCTCGACATAATGAACATCGGATAAATCTGGTTGCTTCTTTTTCTTTTGGAGGAGATCCTTTAAGTCGTAGCTCGGTTTATCAATTTGATCCCCAGAAGATTCTTGATTTCTTCCCTCGACTAGGTTCTTCCAGTGAAGGGGAGTGCCTCGGGTGTTTAGAAGAGCCAGAAAGTACTGTGCAATACGTTCTTCTCCCACTACGGAATCTTTCACCGACCCTGATTCACAGATTTTAAACAACTCCTCAGAGAAAGTGGGAGATATTCAGCTAGAAAAGGGTAATGTGACAGATGCCATCCAAAACGAAAGAACCGGTTACAGTCTGCAATGGAAGAATGAGAAGACAAACTTGGTCGCAAAGGTAACCAGACACTAAGAATTTGTATTTGCTACCAAAAAATTCATTGAATACTTATTCTCTCCACAACAGTTTTGGCATAGAGCCCCACAATAGAACATGTTGCTGATCAGCATGAACTTATGTTAGCTCCTGATGGACAAAATCTACAGCTTGGGGTAAAGAATCTAGACATGGGAAGAAAAAAAAGAATAAAATTGAGGTAAAAGATTGGATTAAAAACCTGCCAGAGCTAGCTTCAACCCAGTCTCCACGTCAGGTATACTCGGAACCAATACACCAGGGGTGTCTAAGACATATATGCTAGGTCGGTGAGCAATCTGTTATCAAGATACCACCACAAATTTCACTGTACTTTCTTCAGAAGTAGTCATGATTAGATGACAAAATCATCAGGCCAAGCAAATCAATTTCTTGCCCATTAAATGAGAAATGGACTATGAAACAATCAAATGGACATGGATCTCCGTGGAATCCCTAAAGAACAGGCAGTGCATGCATTCCCACAAGCCTCGGTTAAACGGGAATAAGAGAGAAAATATTACCTTGAATCCAGCAATATCTTGTGTTACACCGGGCAATGCACCAACCGTGGCTCTCTTTAGTTTCTCCTGCACTATGCATACAATTTCAACAGCTCAGCATTATAAGAATTAGTCACACCATAAACCTATCATTACTGGAAACCAAAAGGGTTTTCAAAAGCTGAATGGAAAATGCATACATGGGCTCAGAAGCACGAAATTTTAGACCATTAACACTATGCTACCGATATGCTGAGATATTAGCATCTTACCAGGGAAGCGAGTTGCTGCAATTTGATGAACCGAATTAATCAGAGCAGATTTTCCAACATTGGGAACACCAAGCACCATCACAAGTAGAGTAGGCTCCCTTGCAATCACTTCCTTAAGTTTAAACTCAACCAGATCGAGAAGCTGCGTGGAAATAAGCAATCAGGAACATACCACCATGAGAAAAAAATTCAAACTTTAGAAAACGAACCTTGTTCATGTTCATATAAAGATTGAGCTTCAGGCTCTTGCAGCCAAAAACAAAAAAAAAAATGACACACATATGTTATATGTAAGAGAAGATCAGCTCACCTTCTTGACAGAGCTCCTGCTATGGTTTCGGGTTTCAGAAAGAGGAAATGCGTCATTGCTGCTCCATGAACGCCGATCGTTACATGGCTCGAGTTTAAGGACCTGTAGATCTTGGCCAGTTCTGTTGTTCTGTCTGGTCTCAGAACCTCGACGAGAAACCCGAGTCCCTCCGCTAGTTCCACCAGGAGGTTCTCATTGAGTATCGCCCTTGATCCGTTTCTTGACAGAATCACCAGTTTCGGCTTCTTAAACCCGTCGAGAGAATCAGACAATGGGGATAAGGAGAGTGTCTGATTTGCTGCTCTATCTGCTGCTTCCCGTTCCTCGTCCTGAATCAAGCTACGGATACGGGGCCAGTACGATGTGTCCAACACGTTTCTGAAATCGACGATGGTTTTATTGCCTGGCGGGTCCATTTCTACAAGCCATAAAAAACAGAAATTTCAGAAACTAAACAAGAGAAATCAAAATGGGTCCTTCGGTCGTAAACCGATCAAGGCACAAACTTACATTGAGGATATTAGGGTTCGCCAAATCTTTCTTATTGAGAGCAATCACACGCCGTTTCGCAGAAATCTGAGGCTGCAGGTCCTCGTTCGCCGACGACAGAGGAATCTACCAAACAACAACAAAATCAGCATAATCGAACAAGAACATGAACAAAACCCACGTATCAGATGCCTATGAATGGAGAATTGAAAAGTGGGACTGTGCACGAACACGAGCGTCGCGGACTTCGATGACGAGGTCGGAGAGCTTGAGGCGGTTGCGGATGGCGCGCGTGGCGGCGGCCATATGACCGGGGAACCAGTTGATTGCCCCGCCGTCCCTGGCGAAGCTCATTCCCCCAAGCAACCCCTTCTTCACCGCCTTCTTCATCCCCGTCACCATTTTCTCCGGCGACCAGAAGGGGGAGATTTTAATGAGGTTTTTCAAGCTTCACTTCTTCATTCCAAGCTTCCAACCAGGAAGAAACCATTATTGTTTCAGGCTTTGGGCCTGTTCTATAAATTTATTGGGCCTTAACTTATTGGGCCTGTTCTTAAGTTAATTGTGCCTTGCTGGGCAAGTAACTCTCGAGGCTTATTCAAAATATTCATTGGCCCTTGCTCAAGAACCGCTATTACCATAGCAATGATCATTTCTCAAATGGCTATTTTTGCTTTTTTTTTTTTTTGTTTTCTTCTGTTTTTTGAGTTGAAATTCTGTCCAAAACAACGACAAATTTCTACGGATAAACCCTAACAATAGAGAGAGAAAAAGATCAAATAGAAGCAACTTGGCTGCCCGAGGTGTCGCAGATGGATTCGATCTTAGGTATCTTTCTCGCCCGATTATACTCCGACGACAATCTGAGAAACAAGACGAGAAGAAAGCTTTGGTTTGAGTTCTCAGAGAGAAAATGGTGTGAGAAGGAAAAGTTAGGGTTTAGAGGTTACCCCAAGTGCAAGCAAGTGTCTGAATGGTGATCATTGCTGTCATCGTCGTCATCTGATGAAGAACTGTTGCATCCCATTCTTGTGTCCGGGATCGGTAGTGAAGCAAACATACGTGAAACTGTGTTTGCCAGAGTTGACTCCAATGGTGGTCCTGTACTTCTTCTCCCGAGCTTCTCCAACTGAAGATGGTTTATTGTTGAAGAACTTATCAGAAAGAAAAAGCCGAATACTTGAATTTAGCGTATGGTGAAGAAGAACGAGATGAAGGGCCGATGGCTTGCCTGTTTGCGTAGCCTTTCGTTCTCTTCCAGGGCCTGTCTCTCCTTTAGATCGGTGAACAAATAAAAGGGTTCTTCAGGTTTACATCTCAACAATGGATGTTACAAGAAGATAACCTGATTTTCGAGGAACTCTTTCTTTACCTGTAACCGGGATCGTTCAATCTGATTGAGCAGGACCTGAGTCTGAACCAGACGGAATTTCTGTCAGAACGTGAATCGGAATTGGCTAACTCTGATATGTTTTCAGTAAAATAGACGAGCTTAGAATTGGTTTTTTCTTCACCTTCTGATCCTTGATGCTTAATAAGGCTTCATTCAACTGGTTCTCGAGAGAAAGCAACTCGGAAAAGTTCAATCCATCCAGCTCCTTCCCCTTCATTCTCCTGCAAAACATAACAAAACAAAACCGGTGAAAACCAAACAAAAGACAGATACTCTAAAACAACACATTGGCGAGTTCATGTTTCAGGGGGGGCATACTCGTAACAAAGGTGCAACCTCTCGAGTTCGCTCTTCAGAGAATCACTAGTTTTCTTCTGTTACAGCAGAGGCGAGTCAGACCACATCGTAAACACGCACAGGACAAGCCAAGAGATTGTTCAAGAACAGGACGAGAAGTGGATGTTACTACTACTACCTCTGCATAGTTGTCTTGGAGCGGTTGCTGATGTTGTTGTTGTCTCTGGTCAGAAGCTGGAGAGCTGTAGCCATATCTGGAAAGAGTTTGATGCATGCTTCCCACCCCAAAAAACGAAACCATCATGCATCAGTTAAACTGGCCCAGACTTATTAACAAAGAAAACTACGAATTTCTCTGCAATTCTCTGTTTTTCGGGTGAAACTCCCAATCTTATTTGATTTCTTGGGCCTTAAGTTTGAACCAAGACACTTCCATGGCATTTGACAGTTGCAGCAAAGAAAGAAAGTATCTAACGGTTACGGTGACACGATATCGATTCCCCAGGAACAATTTCGGTTAGGGTTCATCCATAACCGCTACTTATTCACATGGGCAAGCAAAATATGGTGAATTAACAGATTTTTTTTTTAAAAATCCGAACCCATATCTGGATTTCGATTGCTCAGCACAAAGATCACGACTTTAACCAAAACCCATAAGAAAAGATTAATTTTTTTAAGAAAAAAAAAAACCCGGTTACCTGCCGCTGGAGAATTCGTAAAGCTTTCCGGAGCTGGAGAAGATGATAACAGCAACCTCAGCATCACAGAGAATGGAAAGCTCTTTGGCTTTCTTCATCAGCCCATTTCGTCTCTTGGAGAACGTCACTTGACGACTGTTGACATTGTCGATCCTCTTTATCTCGATCCTCCCTCTCCCCATCTTCTGATGGTGATGGTGATGAATATGGGGTTTCTGTGAAGTTCTTCTTTCTATATGTACACACAGAGGAAGGCAAAAGCCAAACAGAGGGGGAGGAAGTGTCCGTATATAACTACTACTGGTTGCTTGAAATTGATTAGGATTTTCTGTGGGAGGCTAAGGATGGGAAATTCCACCAAAAAAAAATTAGGGCAAAAAAAAAGAAGAGATGACAGATAGGATTGCTATATCTGGCAATTTTCCATTCTTGGTTCCTCGCTAATTGCTTGGAGGAATGGGCTTTTTCTTCTTTTGGAAAAACCCTTAAGGCCTTGTTTGGATCTCTCTCTCTTCTATTTTCACTTTCAATCCTATTTCCCTATGTTACCGTTGTTTCTTTTACCAAGGTAGATACGGTAATTTCAAGGTCGAGTCTCGTTGATTCTTTCTATTTTCTATTCCCTATTACCGCAGTAAACCCTTAAAAAAAACCCTAAAATTAGGGGTTTCTTACTATTCTTGTCTTCAGATGGAAATTCAACATAATTAGTAAAAAAGAAGTAAAATCCTCAATTTTTTTATAATTCGAAAATTTCAAGTTTTTCTTTTATCTAATTATATCTTCAATAGAATCGGATAAGGATTGAAAAAATTTGAATGAATACCCTTTCTCATGTTTGTATTTGAAATCTGGATAAAAAGATATTTTACATGTTACTTTGATAATAGATTTAAAAAAAATAGCTTGATTAGAGAAGAATATATATATATATATATATAACGAGAAAATGAAATCCAGATATCTTATGGTGATAGTTTTTATTTTGAAATTTTTGTTTTAGTATTTTTTTTACATTTTAATTTATAGTTTTTATTTTTGGTTTAATATTTGTAAATCTAAAAAATGAAGTTTTTGCTTTTTAGTTTGATTTTTTTATTACTAAAATAGTTTTACAAATTTTTTATAAAATTAAATTTACAAAATTTTAATTATTAATTTTTTTTAGTTTTTAAAATTTTAAAAACTTTTGAAACTCTATACATTCAACTCTTTAATCTTAAGATTGGCAAGAACGAGGAGATGATGATGATGATGATGATGATGATGATGATGATGATGATGATGATGATGATGATGATGATGATGATGATGGTGGCCAAACGCGGCCTTACCTGATGAAGAAGAAGATAACAGAAGCAAAAGCTATGTCTCTCCTATAATTAGTCATATCCTAAATGGGGGAAATTATGCTTATTTTTATCGTATCTTTTATATATGAACAAACTCACACACAGACATATAGCCTATATATATAGGCATCCTTTTTTAAGAAGTCATTCTTTTCTTGAAGGAATAAAAGAGGTACTGATTAAATTCTGGAAATATCCTTTACTAAAAATGGAAAATAATAAATATGGTTTCCCGAAACATTTTCTAAATTGGGAATAAATATATTTTTCATAAATTTGGATTCTGGAATTAGTAAGCAGTACAGTTGAATGCTCTGGTAGTTTATATTAACTTAAACTACTTTGGTTTTCAATATTAGCTACACTTGGAATTCACAATCCCAAAATGATAAATGCCAAAAAAGAAGGAAAATATAATTGCCCAAATTTAATTTAAAATATAGGTTGATATTCACCCTTTATAAACTATACCATGCTTTTAAATTATAAAATACAATTTAACCCGGATAAAAAAAATGCATATGGATTGTGTATTACAAAATTGGTCATAAAAAAAAAATTAATGAAACTAAAAAAAGAAAAGATTCAAGCCTGAATTTTCGGCCCATGGGCCTATTGGCAGTAGATTCATATGTTAAATGGGCCGAGCAATTGGGCATTGCTACCGAACCAACAAAATCCGGTTAAAGCGGTTTCCTCCGGTTATCGGACATTACATATATATATATGTGTGTCCGCAAAATTTTGATGTTTTCTATATCCTTCTGCTACTTATTAGCTAAAAGACAAAAGGGTTTTTACAAGCAGGTGATGAAAGATTATGCAGCGAGTGAAGAAGGAACTCGAGGTGTGATTCTGAGAATGGAGTAATCGTAAGCACGAGAGAGGATTTTCCCGAATCTTGTCAAGTCGAGATTCACGTTTTGGCGTTCGAGGTAGATCTTCTTAGTGTATTCCCACCCTCTTCTGGTGAAGCTTTTAGGGTTTCGGATTATAGGATCGTCCTGGTCGTACTCTCCGTACAAAGAGCTCTCCGTGGGCTTGATCTTGTAGGGAATGTACTTCAGGCCAAGCTTCTTGGCTGGTTCTCCGTAGTATGTCTCGGCCGCCCAGTCGGTTCCTATCGGGATGATCTGTACGAACACGGTTTCGGGTTTCAGAAAGAGGAAATGCGTCATTGCTGCTCCATGAACGCCGATCGTTACATGGCTCGAGTTTAAGGACCTGTAGATCTTGGCCAGTTCTGTTGTTCTGTCTGGTCTCAGAACCTCGACGAGAAACCCGAGTCCCTCCGCTAGTTCCACCAGGAGGTTCTCATTGAGTATCGCCCTTGATCCGTTTCTTGACAGAATCACCAGTTTCGGCTTCTTAAACCCGTCGAGAGAATCAGACAATGGGGATAAGGAGAGTGTCTGATTTGCTGCTCTATCTGCTGCTTCCCGTTCCTCGTCCTGAATCAAGCTACGGATACGGGGCCAGTACGATGTGTCCAACACGTTTCTGAAATCGACGATGGTTTTATTGCCTGGCATCAGCAAAGGATCTACCGTTAACTCGTCGTGGATTCTCAACCCGACAATGGCTTCCTTGAAACAGTGTGTTCTTGAATCGCCACTGAAATCAACAGGAGGGTAACCCGAGAGCTGCGAAAGAACATCCCCGTACTTCATCATCCACCAATTACGATACTCTGTAATCACAAAAACAACCCTTTTCTTGAAATGCTGTGAAGTGACATACAAAGGGATGATCCCGTCGTTGAACTCGTGATAAACGTTCCCTGTGTATCCACCCGTGGAGAAGAACACAGCAGGAACATCATGGTACACATCGCAGACATGTCCAAAGCCCGAAGCTTTTTCATCTTTTCTCGGGAGACTGAGTTCTTGAACGGTGTCCATAACACTCGTCTCCCATTTTCGGGTGTAGGGTTTGATCTTCTCGGGTTTGAGTTGAGAATTTCGGTTCGTTTCCACGGAGGTGAAGAGGAACACTGAAGAAGAAGCAGAGTGTGTTCTAACATCACCCTTCATGATACAGATATCAGACCTGAAATTGGTTCTGTCACAGCAAATGGTTCCTGCACTCAGCACCCAGAGAAGAAGCGACTGTGAGTTTACTGGATTCAGAGCAGAAATAAACAATTCTGGATGTTCTTATAGCGACAAACATAACTAGACAATGTTTTTGTCTGATTCGGATACATAATTGGTGTAGGAATATACATAATACTGACCATTGGAGATTCCAGAGCAATGAGGTGCAATGAAATGTTCATAAGGATCAAGAAGTCCTTCACCTTCTCTGCCAACCGAATCTAAGAGACAACAAACAGCATAACCAAGAGAACAGACAAAAAATCAAAATCCCAACACAAATCTTGAAGAAACCGATGAAATCCAGAACACAAAACAAGCAAAAAAAAAAATAGAGTGAAATAGAGGGGGGGGGGGGGG